ATGCTGCAGGGATGCATGGCTGCAGCTGACAGTGCCTCCCAGTGATGGTGGCTGCAGGATGTCCTTAAAGCCCTTCCCAGCTACTGTGACCTGCCTGTGTCTTGTCCTCACTGGGACCTGACAATTTGAATGAAATGACACAGTTCCCCGCACTTCAGTCAGTGTTTAAAAATATAAATCACGCCTTTTTTTTTTTTTTTTTGTTTGGTTGCTTTTAGGAAAAAAAAATTCGGATTCAGCAGGTTCAGGTGCCTGAATTCTTTGTGGGTGCATTTTGAGTCTTCATTTCACACTCGCTGCTTTGGGTACCAACTGCAGCATCTCAAGAGCACTCCCAGCTGAAGCTCTGGGAGGTAGGACTACTTCTGGTCAGTTTTTTTCTGCCAGTGCTATAAAAAGTTTTCAGCCAGAGGTAATACTTGCTCTTTATCATGGAAATGTGCAACTCTAAAAATAACCTTTCCACAATTCCCCAGCTGGCTCCCTTTCTGCACAAAGCCCTGTGTCTCTCTGTCCAAACGGACTCACTGTGTGTCACCTTGTGCAGGGGTGAAGGACTTTCTTCCCTCCTGCACCCACCAACATCAGGCCCTCCTCCTCCCCATCCTTTGGGATGCTCAGTCACAGGGCCCCTCACGGGCACAGACTCACTTTCTCTTCTGGAACAATTAGAATACAGCATTTGGGGCGTGGCTGGTTTTGGAAAGAGCTGTGGTGTGTCCCAGCACCTGGGGAGGGATGGGTAAAGTGCCTTAGGATACTGAAGGACAGGAGTAAAGTTGCCAAAATCAAGAGAGCTTCATGCAGTTGAGCTAGGCCAAAAGCAAGGGATGGGGCAATGCCCAGTGCCAGCACAGACTGGGGGATGGATGGATGGATGATGGATGGATGGATGGATGATGGATGGATGATGGATGGATGGATGATGGATGGATGATGGATGGATGGATGGATGGACAAGCTGAAGTTTTCTTGAGGTGCTCAAAGAAGAGCAGAACCTCACAACCATTTTGGTGCATTACTAGAGAAAAATGGGAGAATAATGCAGAAAGGACACAGACATATGGGAAACGCTTCTCTTTTTTTGGGAAATACATGATGTATCTTATGCTGATTAAATTCCAGCATTCCAGCAGTAAATCAGTTTGTTGCTAAACAGTTGATACCAAAAATAGACACTGCTGGATTCAGGCTGCCTGAAGGTATTGATCGGGAAGTTTTCCAGGAGCTGAGTAAGATGGTGCCTTTGCCATTAGTGTTGATTTCCAATAATTTCTGGCATACCTAGGAGCTTGGGAGGTAGAAGAGCATCGATTCTAAAGAGAGAGGGAATGAGCTGGGTAATTATTGACTGATTTAACTGACCTTGCTTGTGAGTAAAATAATGGAGTATTCGAAGTGGGATTCGATCGGGAGAACTAAAGGAGGTAAGACAAGTAGTGCAGTCAGTGTTGTAAAAATAGAGCTTAAGTTGGTACCTGTGCCCTCAGTGTCTGTGGGAGGGCTGAGGCAGCTTTGGTCCCTGTGAGCTCCAGCACTGCATCTCAAGTGCCCTGTGTCCATCCTGGAGCTGCCAAGGGTTTGTGTGTGCCTCCAAGCAGAATGGGAGCAGGCAGTGGAGGGACTGGACAGAAGGCCATGGAAAGGGAAACAGGATCCATCACCACTGGTATCAAATGGTATTTATTATATAAATGCGATTCTGCTGATGGTACCAGCTTTTAATTACCTACAAATATTTTATAGGAACTCAGTTAAATGTCCCATCCATGGAAGTGTCCCAAAACAGGATGGACAGGGTTTGGAGCAACCTGGTCTAGTTGAAGGTGTCCCTGGCCATGGCAGGGCATTGGAATGATCTTCAAGGTGCCGTCCAACCCAAACCATTCTGTGATGTCACCTGCTTCCTTTTTAATGATATAAAAAGTCAAAAGCTACAATTTAATCTGTTCTGGATCACCCCAAAACACAGCCAGGTGGATGAAGGAGGGGTGTTTCAGGGTGTACCTTTCATCCCACAAGCTTTTCAGACTCTTCTGTGCATCATCCCTGTTCTGCTGCTGTGTAGAAGCCTGGACATTTTGCACTGACTTTGAAGCCTGGCAGCATCTCACCTTGCTGCACCTTGAACAGGATTTGTTCCTGGCATGCAGGAAGTTAAAAATCCTGGGGCTGCTGGTCCTTCCTGACAGTATTGATTGTCTCCTGTGCCCTGCATGGGTGGGACAGGCCTGGCTCTGCTTGGAGCAGGGGTTGAGCAGTTCTCTCCTCTCCCCCTCTGTCTGCTCCCCATTCTGTCACACCTGCTGCCTGCAGATGGTTGTGTTGGTCTGAGTTGAAAAAAAATTCTAGAAAATTAGGAAAGGTTTGAGTCAGCATCTGATGTTTTTCTTATCTTCCACAGCTTGAATCAATAAGTTGCAATGCGAAACTCTGAGCTGTTTCCAAAAATAAATGTCAGCCTTTGGGAACTGAAGGACTGCACAGAGGTCACTGATGTCCCAAATCTCTTTTGGCAAATGGGACTTCAGCTAGAAAGTCCTTCTCCACAGAGCTGCTCTCCATCCATCCATCCCCATCCATCCATCATCCATCCATCCATCCATCATCCATCCATCCATCATCCATCCATCCATCATCCATCCATCCATCCATCCATCATCCATCCATCCATCATCCATCCATCCATCCATCATCCATCCATCCATCATCCATCATCCATCCATCCATCATCCATCCATCATCCATCCATCATCCATCCATCCATCATCCATCCATCCATCCATCATCCATCCATCCATCATCCATCCATCCATCATCCATCCATCCATCCATCCATCATCCATCCATCCATCATCCATCCATCCATCCATCATCCATCCATCCATCATCCATCATCCATCCATCCATCATCCATCCATCATCCATCCATCATCCATCCATCATCCATCCATCATCCATCCATCCATCCATCATCCATCCATCATCCCTCCATCATCCATCCATCCATCATCCATCCATCCATCCATCCATCCATCCATCCATCCATCATCCATCCATCCATCCATCATCCATCCATCCATCCATCCATCATCCATCCATCCATCCATCATCCATCCATCCCTCAGCCTGTGCTGGTACTGGGCATTGCCCTGATCCATATGCAGGACCTTTCCAGCCAATCTCATCACTAGTGGCTTTCAGGTCTGTGCTTCCTCTTTGCAGTCACCTTCAAAAAATACCCAACATTCCATAAATGAATGTGCCAAGATAAGAAAGATAGCTTGACTCTTCCTCAGAAACATCCCATCTGCCCCCTGAGTGCCACTGTGGCATGAAGTGATGCTGGCCACAGCACGGCAATGTTGTGGTGCTTGAGTTTCCCCTGGCTGCATGTCACTCTCTGTGAATGGTTAAATAGAGTGAGTCACTTCAACAGACACCATGGACATGAAAATAATTGTCTGGGCAGCCTGTGCCTGCCAGGCCGCCAAGTAATCCTCACACGGCCTGTGACTCAAATCAAGCCAGAAGGAGTGTTCTTCATGCTGCTCAGTTGGACATATTTTGAGGGAAGGCATCCAGCCCTGTTCCCTGTCCCCCCCTTCCATCAGTGTGGTCTTGTCTGCTCCCTGAGAGTGTAGGATCGTGCTCACCACATGTCCTGTGTGTCCTCAGTGGCAGCTTCACTGCAGTGCATCACAGAATCATAATAGACCTTAAAGACTATTTCTTTATTAAGAAATAATTATTAATTCCTTATTATTACAGTTATTAATTTATTATAACAGTTTCTTATTGTTTATAACCTTCCTATTACTGCAAATTCTTTCAAGAAATCTTTTTCATATTACAATTTCTTATTATTTCTTTGTTTCTTATTATTACGAGGTTTTTAAGAATAGGGAAAAAATAATTAGACACTTAAATGAGAAAATCTGAAAGGTCCTATTCGTGTCACTGCATTTGTGTCTGTTCTCCAGCAAATATCCTGGGGTGAAGGATTTCACAGATGTGTTCCTTCTCTCCTTTTCCCAATAGTGCTGAAGCTTGTAGCTCGGGGATGGGAATGTCTACAGAACAATAGGACCTTCCCCCAAAACATTCCCATCATCAGGATTTTCTAATTATGCCTGTGACTGGCAGCTGGCATCAGAACCATTGACATGAGTCAGTCAATATGCCTCAGCTCTATTAAACAAAGTTTTATTTAATTAAGTCTTGATGTCATCAAAATCAAGAGGGAGTGTTGGGGTGGCAGCAGGGAGAGCTGCACTGGCAGAGCACAGTTGGGTCCCAGCGTTCTGGGCATGGGGCTGTGCCCCTGCTCCAGCCCTGCTGCTGTGTGCAGGGGGTCTGGCAGTTCCTGAAATACAGATTGGGATGGGGCACATCTGCAAATCCTGGATTCTCCCAGGACACGCTGGTTTCTTGGAGGGGAACCTGTATGTCATCACAGATTCACAGTATGCCTTGGGTTTGAAGGGAGTTTGAAAGGTTCCACCTCCCTACCATGGGCAGGGACACTTTCCACTGTCCCAGGCTGCTCCAAGCCCCATCCAGCCTGGCCTTAGGCACTTCCAGGGATCCAGGGGCAGTCCCAGCTGCTCTGGACACCCTGTGCTAGAGCCTCACCTCCTCATGGTCTGACATCTCTTCCCCATGTCTAACCTGACCTCATTCTTGTTCATTTTAACACTTGTGTTGGGGCCCCAGAGCTGGAAGCAGCTGGAGATCTCAGGAGTGTGAGGAGAGTCCAGCATGGAGCATGAGGTGGGAATGCTCCCAGTCTGGATTTGGAGAGTGCTCCCAGTCTGGATTGTGGGAGTGCTCCCACTTTAGGGGCAAGAGTGGGGATGGAAGTGTTTTAAGTCAGGGGTTGGAAATCCTTCCAGTTAGGGGCTTGAAGTGCTCACAGCTCTGGTTTCTAAACTCTGCAGGGCAGCAGATTTTAGTGGTGTCTGCAGCACATCCATGTTTGCTCTTTCCTCTCTCCCCAGAAACGAAAGAGGAGCTGGAAGAGCTGATGTCTGACATAAAGAAGACGGCGAACAAAGTGCGCTCCAAGCTAAAGAGTGAGTGTTGGCCTGTGATGGAGCTGTGGGGCTCTTCCTGGAGTTCTCTTGTCCTGGCTGGAAATGTCCCAGGGATGAGCATCACCTTCCCTCTCTGCTGTACCCTCCAGATGCTTTTATTTACTCTTTGTGAATTTGCCCCCTCGTGCCCCGTTCCCAGAATGGGATTGAGGGAATGAGGCCACGAGCAGCCGGTGGGCTCTGAGTGAGTCCTGGCAGGGGTTGGAAGCTGGGCAAACCCTCAGCGTGGCCAAAGGTTCTGGTCAGGTCTGGGTGAGTGAAGAGGTGCTGCTGGATGTGCAGGATGTGATCTTCAATGATCTCAGCTAGAGCCAGGGGCCATCTCAAATGGTGATCCATTCCTATGGCCCTGGACACACTGGGATCCCTGGTGATAGGATTTGGCCTTAAAAAAAACAAAAATCCTTTTCCATAAGTGTTTTGTTCAGTGTTTTGTAAGGGGCTTTGAAAGCCTGAAGGATTGCAGGACAGGCTCCTGTTTCCTGCTTCCAGAAAAGCCTCTCTGGTATCATATTTACCTGGAGCAGCAGATGACTAGTCCTTGTGCTTTGTCCCAAATCATCTCATGGCCAGCATGATCAATGACAGAAAACAGTCAAGACTGATCAAAAACAACATCTGCTGACAACAAACTGTCTTCTTCAGGCCAGACATTACTCATGCAATGGATAATTCTAATTGCTAGCTTCTTGGGAAAATGTAAATTTACAAATTATCAGAGATGTCCAGTGTTTGCCAATGCCATTCCTTGGGAATGGGGAGTGGTTTGTGAGGAGAGTTACTGGTGAAATACTGATACATTCCAGCTGGGCTGTGCTGGAGGGTGAAGGGGCAGCTCCAGGGAATGGGGAGCCCCTGCTGCAGAATGGAAGTTTCTGGGGACAGCTTGGCTCTGAGAGCTGTGAGACATCAGTGTTGGGAATGGAGTCCTCAGCCAGACTGTGGGGATGCCACCAGCTCACACCAGGGGGTTCGCATGGAGATGTGTGTCTCTGCACACTGGCCTGCCTGCTGATGGGAGCTTTCTCCCAAGTTTTGTAAGTCCCTGAAATTAAGTCTTTGAATTAATGTGTCCTGAGCTGGCCTTGAGGAGCAGGTTTCATAGAATCCTGGAATGATGGGATGGTTTGAGTTGGAAGAGGCCTTAAAGGTAATCTCATTTCACTCCCTGCCATGGGCAGGGACACCTTCCACTGCACCAGGTTGTCTAACCTGGCCTTGGACACTCCCAGGGATGGGGCAGGATTGCATTGTCCTGCCCTGCACCCCTGGGACCTCTCCCTGCCCGAAGCACAGTGGGATGTGAGGGTCCCTGCCACGATTCACAGGCTTTGGGCAGTGAGGGCTTCATGTCAATTATCTTCATAATTAGAGGGGCAGGTCCCTGTGCTGCTACATGGATGCTCAGCACAGTGCAGGGCACTCATGCCAGCCTGGTGGGTACTCCCTGTGCCAGTCCAGACAGCTGGAGGAGCTGCTATTTTTGGGTTCCTGGAGGAGTCTTAAAGTTCGGTATTTTGCAGAGACACTTCAGCTCTGGATTTCCTCCTCCTGCCTCTCTGGTGGAAACAGCTCTCCAATCTTTTTGAATACTGGCAATCAGACCTAAGCATCACATTGATTTAATGTGGAAATCCTGGCTCACCAGCCTGGGTGTGACAGTGCTGCCCTTTCAGCCTCAAATCACAGCCAGTGGCCAGGCACCAGGTGCTTTGCAGTCCTGAAACAGGGCTTTGCTGCCAGGCTAAATGGTGGAGTCAGGATTTGGGAACAGCCCAGTACCAGCTGCTCCTCCATCCACTCTCTCTCACAGTCCCTTTGCCAAACAATCTCTTTCCTTTGGTTAAGCACTGGAACAGGTGCTCTGGCAAAGTGGTGGAGGCACCATCCCTGGAAGTGTTCAAAAAATGAGTACATGTGGCAGTGTGGCTTAACAGGCTTGAGGTAATCAGTCAGAGGTTGGATTTGATGATCTTGGAGGTCTTTTACAGCCTTAATGATTCTGTGGTTTTTCTCCAATGTGTCTTTCTGCCCTGACCAGGCATTGAGCAGAGTATTGAACAAGAGGAAGGACTGAACAGGTCATCGGCTGACCTGCGGATAAGGAAAACTCAGGTGAGCCTCTGCCCCGTGGCACCAGGAGGGGGAAAGTGGGAAGCTGAGGGATCCCAGGAAGTGCTGGGAGAGGAGGCCTGTGCTTGGCTATGGAGTGGATTTCTCTGCATGAAGCTGTCCTCCTGCCCAGCTAGTGTGTAATTTTTACCTCCTGGTGGTGCTTTGGTGAGAGAGTACCCGGTGGGAAACAGCCACTGCTCCAGCCTGGAATCTGTCCTTGCATCACTGCAGAGCTGCCTTTAATCTTTTTCCTAACTTGAGTTAATATTTTCTGTTTAATCAGTTCAATCACAAGGTACATTTTGATATGCTTTTTATTTGCTGTGAATATTCAGGTAGGTTTATTTCATGTCTGAAAGCCATTTAAAATGCCTTTTTCCAGCCAATTTTGCGCAAAACTCCGTGTTTTTCAAAAATCAAATGCATATTGTAGACGTGTGGGATGCCCATGGGAACATAGAATAACAATCTGAGAAAATAAACACTGAGTTAAATAACTTCTTAAGCAAAAGAGGTGTAGCATGGTGTGCTAGTGAGCAGGAAGGGTGTCACTCAGCACCCAGGCTATATTTGGCTCCAGATCAACATATGTTGATAGTTTTCAGCTGAATGAGAATGAAGTGGATTTTAGGAAAAAACAGTTTTGGAACAGCAGAGGAGTAGATTGGATGGCACGTCACGTTGTTGCTGGGTTTTGAGCTGAGATGCTTGGGAGCTGTTCTGACCTTGCTCTGGGCCAGCACCTCTCAAGCAGAGGATGGAGCTGGAGCTGCCAGGGGCGTTTGTGTGAGGTTGGTGGTGGAGGAGGGAGAAGAAGAGCTGAGGCTCTCCATAAATACTCTGCTGTTGCTGGCTCAGAATAGCTGCAGAGCCAGTGCAGGCGTGCCCTGGAGATGTCTCCAGTGTCGTCTGCTGGAGGTGGGGCAGTGCTGGCTGGGGCTGCTCCAGGTGTACAAACACCTGCACCAACCCCTCTGAGTGCTGCTGCTTCCAGGCATGTCTGATATTCCTGTTCCCTCGCTGTGCAGAGGCTCTCCAGAAACAGGAATGGAGCAGGAGAAGGGTCTGGAGCACAAGTCTGATCAGAGGGAGCTGGGGGAGCTCTGGAGAAAAGGAGGTTCAGGGGGGACATTCTCACTTTCTTCAGCTCCCTGACAGGAGGGGGCAGCTGGGAGGGTTAGGCTTAGCTCCTGGGAAACAGGTACAGGACAAGAAGAAACAGCCTGAGGTTGTGCCAGTGGGGGTTCCCTCTCATGGAACCCTCAGCTCCCTCTCTCCTTCTCTTCCCTCTCAGCACTCCACACTGTCCCGCAAGTTCGTGGAGGTGATGTCCGAGTACAACGCCACGCAGACTGACTACCGGGAGCGCTGCAAGGGCAGGATCCAGAGGCAGCTGGAGATCAGTGAGTAAACCTAGAGTGGGAACACAGCTGTGCATCCTGCACTGGCTCACAATAGATCAGAGCTGCTCCCACAGCCAGGCAGAGCTTCCCTGGAAAACCTGGGATGCACAGGAGCCTATGGGAGTGACTGGGACACGGCTTCTATTGGAGATGGACGTGGGCTGGTACCTTGAGGTTCAGTGGCAAAGTGCATCCAGCAAAGTACATCCCAAAAGGCTGCAGAGATAGCACAGGGATCACAAGGAGAGGAATTTCTTCTGTGTTCGCAGCCCATTTTTAATTCAAAGAAGCTCATGGGAATTCCTGATTCCTGTGTGTACTTGTCCTTCCTCAGGGTGCTCTTCTTCAGGGGTGAACTGAGCTAAACATGAAAACAGAGAAGGGAATTCTTGAGATGGGAGCACTCCCCGCTCCTGATGGTCTCCCTGGCACAGGAAGAGCAGGAGCCTCAGTGCTGCCCCAGGCACCTCTCAGGGCCCAGGACCTGATGGCTCTTAGCAGCCATTATGTTGTGGCCAAAGGTGGACCTCAGGTGACACCTCTGAGGCTGGTGACACCTCACCCAGGTGACACTACTGTGGCACTAAGAGCTCTGAGTCATCCAGAGCCCATCACTTTGGAGAAGTCCAGTCTTGCCTGTCTATAAAAACACTTTCCTTATGGTTCTTCAGTGCAGTCAGTGGTACCTGGATAGTTTGGAGCAATGGGATTATCTCCCAACAAAGAAGAAATGTGTAATTAGGGAAATAATCAAGGGGAAAGTCAGGGCATGCAGAGATTAAAGGAGATTTTTGCAAATAATCTGTGAGACATGTTCTGGGGGTTGTGCTCAGATTGGAAGGCTCTGAACTTAGTCTTTTTTTTTCCTAACAACCAAATGGATGTTTTTCTTTCCTCTAGCAACTCACTGTGAATAATGGCAGGAGATCTGTGAGTCAATCTGGTGTCCTTGATGGTCACCTGTGTGAATGTGCTTCATTGGTCTGGGAATCTGGGTGCTGTGGGGTGTGGGAATTTCTGTGGAGGGCTGGAAGGAGACACAGCTGTGCAAGCCTCAATCTTTGTTCAGGTTAGTCTTTGTGATGTCTGATACTAACAGGGCTGGATGGGAAGGCTGACTGACACAAGGCTCAACAAGAGCTTGCCAGTTTGCTGTAAAGCAGGATGTGTCACTGCTCCAGTGCCTGACTCATCCATCAGCCAACATCACCCTGCAGTTGACAGCTGAGGAGTGGCTTGTCATGTGAACAGGAATTTAAGGTATCCCTGTGCCTCCCTCTGAGGGAGGAGATTTGGAAGGACTCAGCCATTTGGTTGGAAGCAGACCTGAAGGAAACCTTCCTCTTGTTTTCCTACTGGATTTTGGGAGGGCTCTGCTTAAGTTCTGAAGATCTGTTGTTCTTGTGTCTGCTGTGTCCATCCTGCCAGGTTGTCAGTGCCCGACAGAGCCTGATGGGTGCAGGGAAAGGGCTCAGGAGTCCCCATGGAGCAATGTGTGGTGTAGGGGAGGTGTCCCAGCTCCTGATAGCAAGGGACTCTTGTTCCCTTCAGGATGGAGGTGTGGAGGAGTGTGCAAAAAGACTGATCAAAAGGAGCAGCTTACAGATGTTTTACCTGCAGTGCTGCCTGGACAGGGGCTCTGCTTGGCCTGGGCTGTCCCAGCCAGTGCCTTCAGCCCCAGCTGCTCCAGAGGCTCCTGCACAGGCTCCTTGGAACAGCTCAGCTGGGATGTGGTGCCTGCACAGATCTCCACAACACCCTCAGCTCTCGTTTTCTGCTGAGGAGTCCAAAGATAGAAAGTGCTGGGAGCTCTGACAGCAAAGCCAGTGAATCACTCAGGTTTTCAGAGTATGACAGCAGGAACTTCTCAGCTGCTCTGGGCAGGCTCTCTAGCACCCAGCGAGTTTCTCCATCCTCACCACATCTGGCTCTGCAAGTAGGACAGTGGCAGAGTTGGTGATGTAGAGTCAGTGCCCTGGGCTGTAGCCACCCCCTGGGGCACCCCACAGCCTCTCAGGATCTGTTTCCTTGTCCTTGTGTAGGCACTGCAGTGTCTGTGTGTGCCAGAGCTTGTGCCTCAGTAACCATCAGCATCACGCTGCCCACCCAGGAGATCTCTGAGGAGATGAAGTGTATTTAGGTTTTGCTCCCAGAGAGGTTGGATTTGGAGCTTGGAGGAGCTGCTCACCATGGTGGGTGTGCAGCTGAAGCTATGGAGGTGCTGCACAGATGCTGCTTGGTTTTAGGGACAGTTTTGTTACTGCAAAACCAGGGAGACAAAGGTAAAGTATCTTCTGTATCCAAGGGCACTAGAGATTTCATCAGGCCCTGCTGTGCCAGACCAGGTGAACTGCTGTGCAGAACAATGAGCTGTGGTTGTATCCCACCCTGAGCCAAGAGAGTCTGGGGGCTGCTCTGGCCCTGGTAGCTCATCTGGGCCACTCCACAGCTTATTTAGGATTCCTGTGGTACTTTGGTCTCAGGAACGACCTGGGATTTATCTTGAGTGCAGATGCTGAGGGACAAGGAGGTGGGTGGCACTTTGTGATATGCTGGGCAGGGTTTTGTAGCTGAAACCTTCTCATCCTGATACCAGCATGGGCAGTGGCAGACCTGGCTGAGCTGGGTGACAGCCAAGTGGGCCAGTCACTCCTACCTGTTACCTCACACCCAGGTGAACAGGACAGTGTTATCCATCTCTCCATGAATTGCATGGATTTATGTCTAATAAGAGCTTAAAAGCTCCAGGCAGAGGATCCCAGCCTTGGAAAGGTGCCTTGTCCTCAGCATGTCCGGCGTGAGCCCCAGCTGTGGCTGTGCAGGTGCTTGTGCAGCCTGAGGGATGCTGCCAGCCCAAGGGATGCTGCCAGCCTGGAGAGCCCAGCTGAGCCCTTATCTGGCCATGGCACATTGGACTCCTTCAGCCCTGAGCTACCTTCCCTATTTATAGACCATCTGCATGCAGAATTGGACTAACTGGCATCCAGTGTCAGCTGAGCTCTGGGACTGAGCTGTGGCACCAGAAGCTTCCCTGGGAGCTTCCCCCACACCCTAACACCTAACAGCTCCTGCCCCATCCCCTGGGAGCTGGTCCATGGGGATGTTCACTCTGTCCAGCTGGGCATTACAGGGCCAAGGACTGTGCCTTGAGGTGGGAAGTCTCCTCAGTAGCTTCATCTTTGCCAGAGCTCCCAGTGGCAGCTTCAAATGAGAGGTGTCAGAGCCAGGCTGTCAGAGGGCAGCCCCTCAAACTGCCCTGTAGGCTCTTGGGGCTGAAAGCTTTGCTGTGTTCCACTCCTGGGAAAAATACCACAGAGCCAGCAGAGCCCTGTGGGACCTGTGGTGGGGACAGGGGGCTCTTGGCTGACCTGTGTTGTGTGGTTGCAGCTGGCAGGACCACCACCAGCGAGGAGCTGGAGGACATGCTGGAGAGCGGCAACCCGGCCATCTTCTCCTCTGGGGTAAGCCCTGCCACAGGAGCAGTGAGCACAGCCCAGGGATGAGGGGGGACAGGGGCTCAGCTCTGGCCTGAGGATGCTGTCAGAGCAGTCTGAATGCCGGCATCCTGCTGCAAGCTACCTGCCTGGGGGTGGTTGGAGGGGCTCTGTAGCTCCTGCTCATCCCTCTCTTGGTGCCCCCAGTCCCAGCATCGGAGCTGGGTCTGAGCATGGTGCTCAGGCCTGATTTTTCTCTGCAGATCATCATGGATTCAAACATCACCAAGCAGGCGCTGAATGAGATTGAGACACGGCACAGTGAGATCATCAAACTGGAGAACAGCATCCGAGAGCTGCACGACATGTTCATGGACATGGCCATGCTGGTGGAGAGCCAGGTGGGGAAATGGTGCAGCCCAGGGGCTCCCCTGGAGGGGTTGGAGGGTGATGGGGCTCCCTGTGGTGGGTGGGGAGACTGAAGAGCAGTGCTCCCCTGCCTGGGTGGGTGCTGAGAGGAAGAACCACATCATGGCTCCCCAGGGGTGGAGCTGGGCTCCCCAGGGCTGGAACCACCTGCCTGGCACCCCAGAGCTGGGCTGCTGTGCGTGTGGCGTGGGAGGTTCAGTGAGGGGCCCAGAAGGAGGGCAGTGGGTGGCTGCCATGCAGGGGGAGGTTTCTTCATCTTCCCTGGAGCACCAGGCCCAGGTGGGTGAGCTCAGTGTGCCCCCTCGGCTGTGCTCCAGCCATGGCACCAGTCCCTTCAGCCAGGCACGTGCTCCTGTGTCTTTGCTGACCCCCCTTCTTGCCCGCCATGCTGCCATGGCCCGAGGAGACGTCGGTGGCAGGTAAAGGCCCACGGGCCGAGCCCCGTGGTGCTGCATGCTCTGCTCTGCATGGCTGCTCCTGCATGGCTGCTGCTCGTGTGCCGCTGGGCTGGGCAGGACGGCAAGGGTCACCAGGGCACGGTGGGGTTGGGGGCCTGTCCTGTCTGCAAGGGGACAGGATAATTCCCCATAATGTGGGGAATGCCAGCACCATTGTCCTGTGGGTGAGAAGCTGCTGGCACTGAGAATAGAGAGGTGCCGTGCAGGCAGCAGGGCTGGCAGCTCTGCTCTGCCCCGGGCATGGCACAGGTAAGGAAGAAGCAGCAGCAGTTTTACTCAAGACAGGGAGCAGTTGGTGGGGCTCAGTGCTCAGCACCCCTGGGCCCCAAGGTTTGTCCTCCCTGTGCTCTCCAGCATTAGGTTGAGAAACAGGCATTGCAGAGTTGCTGGCTGTGAGCCTGTGGCTCTGTGGCCTCAATTCCCTCCATGCCGTGCAGGAGGACAAGGGTCTTCAAACCTCCCACTCCTGCCACCTGTGTCCAGCTGCTGCAGGACACGGCTGTTTCCCTGCCCAGTCAGGATGGGGCCGAAGGAGGTGAACGAGGCTGGAGGAGCTCACCCCAACCTGAGTCCCCACACCCACAGGAGCACCCCCTCCCAGCCTATCCCTGCAGCAGGGTCAGAGCAGCGCAGGGGTCTGGCCTTGCTCCGGACCCTCCCACCTTCAGTGCGGATCAGAGCAGTGGTCCCTGGTCCCTGCACGTGCATGGTTTCGTGAGCAGCCCTCATGGTGCTACTGGTGCTGTCCTTGCTCCCTGCCAACTGTTTCAGCAGCATGTGTGTGGCGCTGGTGTAGGTCCTGTTGTGGCTTTGGTGTCACCTGAGATATTGGACAGGTCAGCGCCAGGACCGGGCTGGGAACTCCCTTATCCCTCACCCTTGTTTGTTTCCCTGCTGGGATGTGCAGAGAGATCCTCTGGGATGGGGCATGCAGTCAGAGCAGCCCAGGAAACACCCAGTGCCCACAGGCAGCTGATGGTGCTTCTCTCCATGCAGGGCTGCTGGGCAGGGCAGCATCCACCCGGAGCCAGGGAGCAGCAGAGCAGGAAGGAGCTCACGTCTGCGTGCGCGTGGGCGCGTGGGCTGTGTCCTCCTCCTGCAGGGAGAAATGATTGACCGCATCGAGTACAACGTGGAGCACTCGGTGGACTATGTGGAGCGGGCTGTGTCCGACACCAAAAAAGCGGTGAAGTACCAGAGCAAAGCCAGACGGGTGAGTCACGGCTCTGGCTGGGCCCATCTGCCCCTGCCTGCGCTGCTGACACCTCCCTCCCAGGCACAGGGCCCGGCTGGCACCTTGCCTGCCCCAGGCAGCCTGGCACAGCTTTGCAGGTGCCTGGGGCCTGCATTACCCCACACCCCTGGGAGCAGCCCAGGTCCCCAGGCTTGCACAGCTGAGGCAGAGCTCCCAGCACAGACTGTGTGAAAGCTGACACTGAGCCATAGGGCAGGGGTGCTGCTTGGGGGGAGGAAAAGGGATAAGGTCACCCCTGGACCAGGCATGCTGTGAGAGCCACATCCCTTGCAAACAAATATAGGGAAAGGCCATGGTTCAGCTCAGACTCTGAGCACAGTGCCAGCTGTCTGTCCTGCTCCCAACACCTGGTCCTGTATCAGCTTGGGGACCTGAAGGCCACCAGCTCAGCTCTGTCAGCCCAGGGCACAAGCAGAAGCAGGGATGTCCCTCCCTGCCCAGGACTGCCAGAGCCCTTCTGGCTCCCAAGCTGCTGCTCAGAGCCCATCATGGGCAAGGGGAACGGGAGGAAATGCTGTTCTGAACTCCTGGGTCCATCCTGCCCCAACGCTCACCATCCCCTCTCCCCTCTCTCCCTGCGGCCGCTGGGACACCTGAGCAGAAGAAGATCATGATCATAATCTGCTGTGTGATCCTGGGCATCGTCATCGCCTCCACCTTCGGCGGCATTTTCGGCTAGACTCACCCCCACAGGACTGTTTGTGTGCGATGGATGGAGCCGCGCGTGCCATGGGGCTGCAGCCACACCGGAGCAACCCACGCAGCCCCGGAGCCTCCCAGCAGCATTTCAGTTTCTAATGCATGGTTGTTTGTGACGCTGTGTGTGCGGTGCGGTGCGTCTGTGTGGAGGGAGCTCCAGCCCCGGGGCGCAGGCGGGGGGCAAGCGATGGTGATGGGCGCAAGGGGGACCCTGGGGGGGAAACCCAAGCTCTCATCACTGCTCCAGGCTGGGTGGCTGGCTGGGACCAGGAGGGAGACACAAGTGACTTTGGGCACTGCTGCTCATCCTGTGATGGGCGGTGTTGGTGACAGCTGAGGAGGAGGGACCGATGGTGGGTGTTAGGGGTCCTTGGGAGTACGGTGCCCAGTCAACCTCCCCAGCTTGCCCATCACCTCCAACTCTCATGTCCGTCAGCCGCATCTGTGCTTGCAAACACCTTCCCTCGGGCTGCTTCTCTTCGGGGCCCTTCCCCAGGGGTGCGCTCTGCCCAGCCCTGCCTGGCCAGTGACTGTGTCTGGCTCTGGGGCTCCATCCCTGCCACTCCTCCGGTGGCAGGGCTGTCCCCTCCCTCTGTGAGCCCTCACCCCAGCAGGGTGACAAAGGCTGGATGTGCCACTGCAGCTGGTGGGTGCCTGATGGAGCACTGTGGAATAAGGGGCTGCTGCCTGGGGCCATCACAGTTGCCTGGAGACAGGAATAGGGCACGTGAGGGCTAGTGCTGCTCCTGGGTGCTGGCCTGACAGGGCAGGATGGCATGGATAGTCTGAGGCCAGTGAATTTGACTGCTGCTCATGCTGCACCACACCCTCATTGCAGTGCTCTCAGCCCTGGCACACGGTGGTCCTGGCTCCTGTTGCCCACAGGCCGGGACTCTGCCCGCCGGGGTTTGGGGCTGTTGCTGATGTCCACAGCCCCTGGCAGCACCCACCTGCAAGCAGAGCTGCTCCAGCCTTGCTTTTTCACACCCATGGCCGGGGGTTAGAAGCAGCTGGGCTTTCTCCTGTTGTGGTCCCAGGAGCAGCCCTTGCTGCATCCAGCCCCCTGCAGGTGAGGAAGAGGAGCCTTCCTCCTCCTGTACCCAGTCTGGTTGTGAACAAGCCAGTGCCTGACTGCCCGTTTGCCACCTCCTGGCATCCTGCTGCTCCTGGCACCTGCCCTTCTGTCCAGCCATCCAGTGAGGCACCTGCTCTCAGAGGGGTGCTGTGCCCACAACACAGATGCAGCTGCTGTGGGGCCCAAGCCCATTGGCAGCTCAGGGGAGTCATTGCCTGTTTCCCTCAGGCTAGGGACAGGGCTCTGCCCTCACCTTCCTCTGGAGACCCCAGGGCTCTGGCTGGCCTGTGCACATGCACAGAGCACCAGAGAGGAGTCCCAAGGTAGGCTGGGCTCGCTGCCACACTGGGACAGGGGCTGGCTGGCAGGTGCTGGTGGCAGAAAAGGGACCCTGGATGGCAGCCAGTGTTCCAGCCTCGGGCAGCATCACCACCCAGCTCCCACCAGCACCAGGGCAGGTGCTGTGGCTCAGGCACTGGCTGTGTGTGGTGCCCCTGGGTGCAGGGGAAAGGCAGTGGCTGCAGCCCCAGAGTGCTGCCTCCCCCAGGGCCAGCCCTGCCCAGCAGCAGCCCTGACACAGCTTCTCCTCTGACACTGTTACCCGAGGTCCCCCCTACAGCCCCTTGTTGCATGCAGCTGCCCTTGGGAAGTGGGTCCAGCCTGGTTCCCCACACTGCCCAGCCCAAGCCCCTCAGGGTGCAGCCACGGGAACACCCCAAAGCAGAGCCCCCTTCTTTCACAGCCCCACACCGAGCCACGTGAGCTCCAGCACTGCAGCCTGCGTGCACTGAAGGGCTTGGGGCACCAGGACCGTGCAGGCAGGGGTGGGAGGCAGGCAAGGGCAGGGTCTCTGCTCCAGGGGGACACGTCTGGCTGCAGGAAAAGGGAGTAGCCATGCTTCTGTCCCTCAGCAGCTCCCTGCCACTGCCATCCACGCTTGCTCTGCCAGGCCAGCAAGAGCCCCAGGGCCCCTCCAGGAAGCAATAACACTGGGCAGGCAGGAAAGCCCTCCTGCCATGCTCCTGCCCTGCAGCCATGCCCCTGCCCTGCAGCCATGCCCACTGCTAGCACAAGGTGACTTCTTTTTCTTCCAGGCAGCGGCTTTAGTGGCACAAGCTCACCTGACATCAGGGCTGTGGCACCCTGTCAAGGCACAAGGCCAGGAACTGCACTGGGGGGAATTCTTGGCCCTTGCTCCTTGTTGGCACCACCACTGCCAGCAGCCCCCACAGCAGCATGAGTCGGATGGGGCCAGTCAGGGCCACTGGCACTTTGCTGGGTGGATCCTGTGGGCAGCAGCAGCGCTGGGCTCCGAAGCAAGGGAGATGAGGAACAGCTGCCCCACAGGCAGGCTCACACTGTCCTCGCTGTGAGGGGAGGGTGTTTTGGTGCAATAATTACCCCTGCACTACGGGAAGCCCCATTGAGTTCCTTTTCACCTACCTGTCGTTGCATGTACAGACCAAATCACCAAGTGTGGTTGTGCTTTGGGAAGACGTTTCACCTTTTCTTTCCAGCCCCCCAACCTGCACCCGCTTGTCCTTTGGGTTCCACCACCTCTGTTCCAAGTGCCACCCGCCCTCCCCACGCCGGGAGCGTGTTGATGCAGTATTCCATGAGCAGTGTGGGGCACGCACAGCTTGCACTCGAACTGGGGATTGGTTTTTTTTTTTGTAATTAATGTACTTGAAGGCTTTCCGAGCCCCCTGTGGAGTTCTACTGTTGCTGTACTGTGAGCTAAGTGTCCTTGTTTTCTATGTGGATCTTGACCCTGGCTTGCTCTGTCTCACTGGGCTGGATGACACTGTATGTTGCCTCTCTTCTCCTTCCCTCTTTCCCTCCCTGCTAGCATTCCTTTCTTCTCCCAAGGCTTTGGGTGCAAAACAGCTTCCCATTTTGTGGAATTTTTATGTAGAATAAACATTTGTAACTGTAAAGCTCTGGGTGGCACCTCTCCTTTTTTCAAGGGAAGGGAAGAGGTGATGGGGGGTCCAGTCAGCCCCAGCACCCTGGAAGGACTAAAGCAAACAGGATGGGCTTGGTGCCAAGCACCAACAGGAGTAACTGGAATAACACCTGTGCCAGGAGCAACTTTGTCCTCATGGATCTACACCTTGACAGTGTGGAAGCTGGCAGGGCACGAGGTACCATACTCCCACCTCAGTACTCCCAGCACCGAGGGCAGGACGCAGGAGACCAGCAAACACTTCCAACTCTTTGACTCTTTAGTGAGGAACTGGATATCATGGCCTGGCTCACCTGGAGCTCAGCTGGCTCACTGCACTCGGGAAGGGTAAGTGATGGCACTGCAGACACCCAAGTGGCCAGAGCACTGTCTGCACCTTCACCAGGGAAACAGGGCTGGAAGCTGCGCTGTTTGGCAGCACCTGAGCCAGTCTGTACTTTCAAGGGCCACAATGACCAGTCCCAGCAAGTCCCAGGCATGGGGTGCCAACTGTGCCATCCACAGGAGGCTTGCTGGAGGCACCCACATGCCACTGTCCATGCCAGCAGTGCCCAGAGCCATTCAGAAGTGAGGACGGCGCTTCCGACCCGTGTATTTCGTGTCTGCTCGCACCTCCCTGTGGGAAAAGCAGGGAACAGCTCAGCACCACCTGCAGGTCACTTGGGCAGGCCAAGGGAGCAGGTTTGTGGCAGTTTAGACAGGTGACACCAGGCCAGTCCAGCCTCTGAGGCAGGACTCAGCTGAACTCACTTGCCCTGGCGCCGTCTACGCTCCTTCTTCTCCAGGATCCAGTCCCGGCTTTTCTTCACAGACTTGCCCTTGACATTCCTGAACCGTGTCCTGTGGGGAAAGTGGACAGCAGCTGGAGAGGAGCTGAGGTGTGGGGGGCACAATTCTCTGTCCTAGAGGATTTTCACCCTGAACTGGATCACAAAAGCAGTGAGTTTCCCTCCCACCACCCCTGGGCAAGAGGCTTGCATTGGAGCAGGTGTCCAAACTCCAGACACACTGGAGAGGGAGGCTGATTCCAGCCCTGGCTCGGAGCTGAGGGATCCTGACCTGTGAACATGCCACACCAGCAGCATGCTGCACTCTGGGATCTCAGGGGATTACAGGCTCAGGCACAACCACCTTCCCCTTGTCTGCTCTACTCCAAACAAGGCAGTCAGGCTTCCTAAAAAGTTCCCAGCTCTGCTACTGCCCTCCAAGACCAGATGCTCCTTAGACTAAGTGAGCAGAGAACAGCAATGTAAGAGGCAGGAAAACACGTCAGCCACAAGCTCCTGGCAGCCACGACGACTTTCCTCTGCTTTTTGTTTTGTCTCTCCCACTGGCTGCAAAGAAGGGCTCCTCCCTGCACCACTGCTGTGGGAAGAGACCAGCAGCAGAAATCCCCAGGCCACAGCAAAGCAGAGCTGAGCAAAGACTTGGGCAGGAGGAAGATGTCAGGACTCAGGCACAGCTGCCTGCCTCCACGAGCCCTGTAAACATTCTCTCTCCAACACCACTGGCCTCAGCTGGAGAGCCCAGTGCTGGACAGAAAGCTCTAGGGTAAGCACCTACAGCCCCGTGGAAGAACCCTAGGAACTCACTAGTCTTTTTCCCTGTGTCCAGGCTCTTGGGAAGGTAAAGCAGCTCTCTCCTGGGCTGCTGTGAGTCCTGTCCTTCCCCTCCCATTGCTTCTCACACAGCAGCAGTGTGGTCCCCAGTAAAACTCAGCCCTCAAAGCCCCCCAGTGCTTGTTGGAGAGAGCCTGCAGCCTCACCCCCACACGATACCTCTCATTGGTGAACTTTGCCTGGTGCAGCTCTTCATTGGCACACTCGGTACCAAGGCCCTGGAAAGCAAAATTGGGAAGTTGTGTTCTCCTCTGGACCAAGCACAGCTTTAGTCAGCCCATCAAAACTAAGAGGAATGCAGGGATCTGCAAGGGGAAGGACCAGAGCAGGAACAAAATGGTCTTCCAAAAATCATGGCAAAAAAAAAAAAAAGCAGATGTCAGAAGAATGGCTTTAAAGAGGGAAGGGTTAGACTGGATATTGGAAGAAATTCTCCCCTGTGGGGGTGGTGAGGCCCTGACACAGGTTGCCCAGAGAAGCTGTGGATGCACCATCCCTCTAAGTGTTGAAGCCCAGGTTGGACAGGGCTTGGAGCAACCTGGTGTCTCCACCTATGGCAGGGGGGTGGAACAAGATGAGCTTTAAGCTCCCTTCCAACCCAAACCAGCCTGTGATTATAAGAGAGCAGGGCTTGGTGACTGGCAGAGAATGTATCAATGAAGTCACACCTGCACTCACAGTGCTCCCACACTGCCCACACTCTCCCACATCATCCAGCACCAGAAGAGCAGCTCTGCTGCCTCATGGACACCCTCACCTTTGGTAATGTGGCAGAGGTCCCAACAAAGAGACAGAGGAAGAACCTGAAAGAACAAGAAAAAGGAGCATGAACGTGGGATGCAGCGAGTCTCAGTCTCCAGGCAAGACTGAGATGGTTTATAACAGAGTCAGATCTAAGTTTTACCAGGACTGTATAATGCAAGAGAGAACAGCTCAGGGGGAAAGACAAAAAACATGGGAGAAAGAAAAAGAAAAATCACTTCTAAACCCAGGCTTCACCCCAAACACACACAGGGGTCCAGGACTCACTTCTTGGCTTTGGCGCTGTTGGGGTAATCAACCACCATTCCCCCAGTAAATCCAGCTCTCATGGCTTGGGCTGTGATGAGCTCCAGCTGGAAAAGCAGCAGGTGCAAGGTTAATTAGCAAGGTTAATTAGCAGTCATTCCCCAGGAAAGCCCAAGGACCACACCTGGTTGGGCATTCCCAGGACAGACTGCTCCTCCTCCTGCTGCTAAGCTCTGCACCTGTCTCCTGGTTCTGCAGTACCACAGAGGCACCAATTCCCTGCCTGTGTTGGTTCTCCCTGCTCCTCAGTCTAGCCTGGGTGAGCTGGCAGAGTGGATTCCAGGAGAGGGATACTGGGCTGGATTTTCCAGACCTGAGTTAAAGTGCAGTGCTGATGACTACAGCCAGTCTTCAAACCCACATTCACATCGTGTCCTGCCACTTTAATTTTAAGACCCAGCCCAAGATAATGTAAGAAACAACAGAAATTGCACAAGGTATCCTCCTTACAGGTTACTTTTTTGTCTCTTGAAGAGCTTTACCAGTAGCAGGCAGGACAGGGACACAGACTTGATGTGGAAGAACATAATACATTCACACCCCAAACAGTGAACTATTTCTCTGCCTGTAGCCCTTCCCAAGTGATTGATGGGCTGTACCTGCTCTGAGTTCTCGGGGTACAACTGCAGCACAGCTCGGGATCCTCGGGCCTGCAGGAAATAAAGCTGCTCACACACCTGTCTCAGTGCAGGTAACCCCTCTGGGTCACCCCATCCCAGACACGAGCTGCCTCCTGCCCAAAACCTCCAGGACAAGGCTCCCAGGAGAGCTGCTCAGCCAGTGAGGCACAGGGGGAACACACCAGGTAGCACAGAATCATGGAATTGTTAAGTTTGGAAAAGACCACCAACTCCAACCTTGATGAGAAGCAGCACCAGGCAAGAAGGTAAGCACTGGGTGCCCCTGCCAGTCCCACTTCACAGCAGCACTTACTTAAACCAACCGAGAAATATCTTGCTAAAAAGCACCAGCAAAGACATAAGAGCAGCAGAGACCTGGCTGGTAGAGGGTGGCACTTACCAGGGCAGTGTAAAGAGTGGAGAAGAATCTGTAGAGGCGTTTGGGGGGGCTGTGTGATTTCTTGTCAGCGTTACAGAGCCACTGCACTGCAGAAATGCTGAGAAGGAAAATAAGACCCCCACAGGACAGAGTTATTGGTTCCTTCACAAAGCTTGCCACCTCCCTTTGATCTGAATTCCTGCATTAGGCACGTGCTGGGCCTCAGGGAAATTATTTTATTTCCTCTGTGCTGCTTTGCCTTCTGTTTCACAGTTACACAAACCCCTCTGGAGACTCACTGTGCCAAAACTTAACACAATGCATCAGTTAAAGGACAAAAGCATCACCAAGCATCCTTTTTAGTCCAAGTGCTCAAATAGAATGACAGAATGGTTTGGGTTGGAAAGGACCTTGAAGCTCAGCTTGTTCCAGCCCCTGCCATGGGTAGGAACACCTCCCACTATCCCAGGTTGCTCCAAGCCCTGGCCTTGGACACTTCCAGGCCTGGTGCATCCACAGCTGCTCTGGGCAATCTGCCAGGGCCTCACCACCCTCACAGGGAAGAATTTATTCTGTATATCACACCTAAATTTTCCCCCTTTCATCTTGAACCCATTACTCCCAGTCCAATCATTACAGTTCCTGAAGAGCATCAGAGAGCTCAGCTGTGTCCCCTGCCTGGTTTTCCCAATGAGCAATCTAAACCAGCTACCAACTTCTTCCCAACTGTTCTCTAAGCAGATAAATCCTTCTGTCCCCTTCATCCCAAAACCAACCATCAAATCCTTGATCCAGGGACAGACTTTTCTAAGCAATGCCACATACTTTGTTTTCCTCCTTGGTGCAGGTCTCAGCCATCCTGACAACATCCTGTTTTACTTTACTTTTATTTTCTTCAATAATATTCCTAGCTCACCAGCACAAAAGGACAAGCATCACTTGGCAAACAGCTTTCATGAGCTGCTTCTACCATCCAGAATCCTGGAGGTTTGCCCTGGAGTGATGGAGCCAAGTTGCACAGAGCAAAGTGATTTACCAGATGTGCATCATGTGTACTGTGCTGTTCCGTGCAGCAGGAGAGCTCAGCTCCATGCACAGACTCACCTGATACAGCCATCAAACATGCCAGGCCTGAAGGGAATGCCGTGACCCACATCTGCAAGGAGGAGGTCTCCTTCCACCTCCCGCTCCACAGCCACATCTGCACAGAACAGAGCACAGCTCAGACAATCAGCTCCCACCTTTGGGGCCTCTGAGGGTCCCAGGGGAGGCTGTGCTCACCCAGCATGGCAGGGCTGATGTCCATGCCGATCCAGTAGTGACCCTCCTCAGAGATGTAATCCCCACTCAGCCCTGAGCCGCAGCTGAAAGGAGGAAGGGGGAAAGTGCTGGGGTGATGGGGCTGGTCTGAGGCTGCTGCTGGCCAGATACACCCAACTTTACAGCAGCCAGTCGCTCTTCTTCAGCCCACAGAAGACATTAGTGCTGTGGGAGCCCCCTTGCCTTGTGCACCCCTGATGCTCCATGTGCCATGGCACCGGGCAGAGCCCCGCTCACCCCACGTCCAGGAGGAGGCACGCACGATCCTCGGGCAGCCCCAGCAGCTCCACAGCACGCTCCGACATCTGCGACTGGATCTCCACCACCCGCGAGCTGAGGCACAGGCAGAGCGCGGGCGATGTGCGGCTGCCCCACGGCGACATCGCCCCACACCGCCAGATCCGAACCTCGCGGCGAGCCCCGAGCGCCCCTCCGCCTCTCCTCGGGATCCGATCCCGAACCCTCCAACCCCGCCCCGCCGCTGGCTCTGACCCCCCCAGGCCCTCAAGCAGGGCCCCAGCACTCCCGGCAGGAGCCAGGACCAAGCCCCATCCCCGGCGGGTCCCCCCGGTGTCCGCCCCGTGACGGGACCGCGCCTCACGCCAGGCCCCACAGCGCCGGTCCCGCCGTACTTGTGGGTGTACTTCCGCGCCTCGGCCGCGTCATAGAACTGAAACGAGAGGGCGGCGGTGGCGGTGAGGCCGGGCAGTCCCGGAGGAGCCGCCCCGGAGGAGCCCGGTTCCCCTCCCCGCCCCGCTCACCAGCTCGGGCGGCCCGCGGTGTTCGGGACGGCGGCCGCTGCCCGCCATGCTGCGCCTGCGTGACGTCACTGCCCGGCGACCAGCCCGCTTCGTGACGCCACCGTTTCGCCGGTCACGTATCCGCTACGTCACTGCTCCGCGCCGGCCGCGCAGCATGGCGGCGGGCGGGCGCTGAGGCCGCCATGGAGCCGGCGGTGCTGGGCCGGCTGCGGCGGCTCCTCCCCGCGGCCCCGCGGCCCGGCTGCGCCCCGCCGCCGTCCCGAGCCGCACAGACGGGCCGTGCTGGAGCCCCGCGGCCGCGCTCCGACCTCTACGAGGTGCTGGGTGTCCCGTCCACGGCGACGGCGGCGCAGATCAAGACGGCGTACTACGAGCAGTCGTTCCGGTACCACCCCGACCGCAACGCCGGCAGCGCCGCCGCGGCCGCGCGCTTCGCCGCCGTCAGCGAGGCTTACCGAGTGCTGGGCAGCGCCGCGCTGCGCCGCAAGTACGACCGCGGGCTCCTGAGCGCCCAGGAGCTGCGCGACGCGCCCCGGCCCTCGGGCCGCCCTCCCGCCGCCGCCGCCGCCCCGCCGCCGCCGCCCCGCGCCCCCGCTGCCCGCACGGGGCCCTTCCCGCCGCCCTTCGACTTCGACGCCTTCTACCGCGCGCACTACGGGGAGCAGCTGCAGCGGGAGCAGCTGCTGCGGGCGCGGCGGGAGCAGCTGCGCCTCCGGCGGGAGGAGGCCGCCACACACGGACGGCTTAGGGCGCTCTCCGATCTCTCCATAGGGCTCCTCTTTTTCCTCAGTGTTGTCATCCTCTACGGTCTCAAGTGATGCCCCCGTGGCGCCCAGCCAGCTCCACGGTGTCCCCAGGGGGCTGGGGGTGGCTGACACTCTGTATCTGCTGTTCAGGCTGTGACATTTAACTCTGCCAGTGTGACCTTCAGGGACGGTATGTGAGCAGCAGGATTCATCGGCCCCTCTGCCAGCGTGACCTTGAGACACTCGGTGCCCCTGGCTGACACAGGATGTGACCTCTGGATGTCCTCTGTGTGTCCTGGTCCACAGGCCAGGCTGGGCTCTGCTGTGCCCCTTGCACGACCTTACAGAGGTGCTGCAGGAGCTCTGCCAGCTCTTCATGTGCCCCCTCAAGCAGTGCCACCTGCAGACACGGTGCCTGACAAGTAAACACAGTTCCTGGACTCTGGACTGGGATGTGTCCCCACCTTTGGCACAGCTGTGTGACCTCGGTGTGCCCCAGGAGCCTGTTGTGAGCCACAGCAGAGATTAAAGGCTGTCAGAGCTGGTGTGTGCTGTGTGTGTTCAGGGCTGCTGCACTCACTCATGCTCAGGTGTGCCTCTGCTGATCCCAGACCTGCCACCTCTGTGCTGTCACACCTCTGATGAACCACATCTCTGGGGAGTTTTTGGTGTCCAAACCCCTCAGAATGGCAGGTATAGAAATCTTACATTCAGACTTGAAACTCGAGCCCGTGGTGGCTCGTGCCCTGCTCAGAGTGTGACATTGCCTGGAGGTGCAGCTAAAGCACCTTGGTGTCTCAAGTGCTCTGTCCTGTCTAGGGCCTGCCAGGAACTTTACACAAGCCCCCTCCCCCTGAGGCTTTTGGCCGTGTTGCACCTGTGAGCACAGAGCTGTTCTCTGTGTTTTACAGTATCTCAGCATCATTTGCACAAGTGTATTTGCCTATTTAAATACTGAAGTGTTCTAAGAACTAAAGATTGTGTTTCCCAGAAACTTTTTTTCTCTCCCTGGGTGAAGGTCCGCCCGTGCCATGCTGCTGCTACCTGGAGGGAGAGGAGTTTTGTGGCAGTGGCCAAAGACTGGGTTTGCTGTCAGAGGGGTGAGCAGGAGCCCAACCCTTGCTCCCTCACAACCCAGATCCTGGCTTGTGTTTCATCCCAGCACAAGAATATCAAAAGTGAATACCCTGTGTTTTCCACTGTGGATTTCTGTGATCTTGTTGGGAGCCTGAGGTGGTGGCACAGCAGGGACCACCACATCTGCTGGTTGTGCAGGATTGCTCTCTGCCTGCTCTCCAAAGCCTTGTGCCACTTCCAGCTGCACACTAGAGGCTGCTGCATGCTTGGAGTGAACTCAGCCTGGGGGCAGAGTGATCTTTGCAGGATCCTCCCTTCAGAGCTGCCAGTCTGTCCCTGGGATTAGAGCGCTGAAACATCAGCGTGGGAGACACAGGAGCCCGGAGTTCTCTGGCTGCAGAGGGAAAGTCTCTGCACTTGTGGCTCTGGCACTTGCTGATGCATTTTCATGCTCATCTTCATTCTGTAAACCAAATCACTCAAAAGATCAGAGGTGTTTTTTTTTTTTGGCAGAATTTGGCAGGAAACATTACTTTCCAGGCTGGAAAAGCTAGAAATGTCCATGGGAAGCAGTGGACACTAGGGAGCAGTTGTTTAGCTGTACCCTAACAGGTGTTTTGGGCAGTTCCTGCTACTGGTTCTTCCTCTTCAGGTCTCTTCAGGTCTCCACGATGTATCTTGAAGATTAAAGACATCCAACCATAAACTGCTGACAGAATGACACATCTTTCTTTTGGTGGGGCTGGGTGGTAAATATTCCTTGCACTTGCTGGAAAACGGGTGAGGGACAGGCAGGTGTTTCACATCCTTCAGCCAGTGAAGAAGAGGGCAGGGAGGAGAGTTCTGTTTCCCTGGCTGGGATGGGTGAGCATCCAACCTGCAGTCAGCAGAGCAGGGTGGCTTCTCTGGACTCTGAACAGGAGCAGCCTCCTCCTGTTCCGTGCTGCCTGACACCCAGGGGTGGCTGTGCACTGGTGACATCCCCCGTGCTCTGCACTCACCTGCCTGGACAGAGGAGGGTGCACTAAAACTCTTCAGTGTCACCTTTACCCTAGTCAGGCCTGACTGCTCCTCTGCTCTGGGAAGGATTTCAGGAGGCTGGAGCTGCTCCAAATGCCCAGACTGCCAGCTCCCAGCACACCACTGTTCTGTCCCTTTTCCTCCTTGTGTCAACAGTGTCATCGTATTCCTGTTGTTCCCCAGTTGTTTCCCTGATGGAGAGGTGCCAGGAGCAACTGGGTTTCGTGCTGCTTTCCTTTAGCCAGGTGAGCACAGCCTGTGTAGATGCCAGGGGCTGATGGTGACAGGAGTGTGAGGTGGCAGGGACTGTGAGCTGTACAGGACTGGAAGATCAGCAGAGGATAAAGCTGAGTAATTCCCTGTGGCCTTTAGCAAATCCTACCCCTCACTTCCTCGCTCTGTGGCTCCACATTTCACTTGCCTGCAAGTGTTGTGTTCTATCCTTGCTGGATGCTCGTCCTTCACTCTCTTACCCCTGGCACCAGGTTTTGCCAGCTGTGTGTCACCAAAAGGAGGGTGAGTTGGTGGTGAAGCCTCAGCCATCCAAGCCCGGACTGCTCTACCCTGCACCTTCACCCCAGGGGGTTTTCTGGGTTCTTTGGTGCTGCATTTTCCCACCCTTAAATCACTGACAATAAACATCAAAGGGAAGCACCAAGATCTGAGTAGTTAACAGTCACTTGGTAATTTGATGCTGTGACAAACTAGGAAATCTAACCCTCCAGGGAAATTTAAACAAGCTGGATGAAGCCTGATGGCCTCAGTGTTGAATTTTCATGGGCTGACATCCCATAACTGCAGGTTTGGGGTGCTCAGCTGCTCCCCTCAGCTGGGAGTGTGGGGTCTCAGTGCCTCATCAGGGTCTCCTGGAAAGGAAGGGTCAAACCTGGCTGCTGGCAGATCTTCGTGCCTGCTGGGCTGGGCAGATGAGGAACAGGGAGCTGCAGGCTGGGGGAGCAGCAGTAAGGGGTGGCTATCAGCCTCCAAAAGGGGCTGGTCTGGCAGGGATTGGGATGAGGGGACAGCCCCTGGAACAGCCCCAGTTCTGTGTGGGCAGACTCTGCCCTCCCAGGGAAGGGCTGCTACGGTTGGCAGCACCCGAGGATGGGGGGGCAGCTCCTCCTCCCTTAAGCAGCATCCCCTGCGGCCGCTCCTTGGTTAATAGAGTTAATTGTTAATAGACCTCCCTCACCAGCCCCGGTGCCTGCTCCGGGGGCCCCAGCTGGGGCACATGGCACCCCCTTCCTGGCTGGTCCTAGTCCAGGTTTGCACCCCTTTGTGCACCCCACTGCCTGGGGGATTTCAGGGGGAGTGGGGGGCAACTTCTTCTGGGCTGGGGGCTGCTCCTTATCCAGCCTGGCTTTGACAGAGCCAGGCATGGGGGGCACCCCCAGCTCCCTGCCCAGGTTTGGCTGCACACCAGCTGGCAGAGGGGCTGGGCTGGGCCCGGGAATGAATGTAGGTGCACACCCAGTGGCAACCTCTCCTCCTCGGGGTGGGCAGGAACACCTTTACCCTCCTTGGCTGCATTCTGCAGGGCAGGGACAGGCAGGGAGAGGAGGGGGTCACCCAGTCTGGCTCCTGCCTGTGAGCCAGTGTCCCTTCCTGCCCTGTGTAGAACCTTGCCCCCAGTCCCAGCTGGCCCATGAAGGGCCTGGAGCTGTCGGTGGCAGTGGGCAGACAGAGACCACTCAATCCCCAGGGAACAGGGTGCACCAGGGTGCACAGACACCCCCTGCCAGGATCACCACAGCTGGGGTGCCCCATCCTGCTGTCCACAGCCAGAGCCAAAGGGCACAGCATGGAAAGAGCACACGTAGAGCATGGAAAGAGGCTTTATTTAGGAAGCATGTGGCACACCCAGCGCTCCTGTGCCCTTTCCCTGCTATCCCTCCCAGCTAAGCCCACTGACACCCCTACAAGGCACCCACCCCCACTTCCTGTCACTGCTCCCCTTGCTGTGGATGCAGAGACCTCCCCCCTGCAGCTCCCGAAATGCAGGACCCCTACCCAGCCATGGCACCTACCCCAACCGAGTGCCTCCATCCCTCAGTGAGCACCCGCCCCTGTGCCTGCCCCACACACCCTGCAGCCCTTTGGAGCTGTGCCTACACCACCCCCCACCCCTGTTCTTCCCTGCCCACGGTGTTCCTGCACAGCTCCCGTGGAGGCACAGGAGCAGGGACATCTCCCATCCTTGCCCTGCTACCGGTGTGGAGGCTCCTGCTTCTGGTGTTGCGGCTGCTGCTGCCCGCGGCCAGGCTGGGGGCTGAGCAGGGGGATGTGTCCAACGAGGCGCAGGGGAGAGCCCAGGCTGGGGATTTCGGAGCTGGGGGATGCTGGCTGCTGTTCCAGGGCTGGGAGATGGTGCTTGGGAGGTGCGGCCGGCACGGGAAAGGGCGCAACAGCCTCCGAGGGGATGAGGAAGGCAGGCACGAAGCCGTAGGAGAGATCAAAGGCTTTGGGGGCTGCTCCACTCTGCAACGGTGCAAGGCGGGCTGGTGCCATGCTAGCTGGGGCACCTGGGCACCCTGCAGGGCCCACAGGGTCCCTGCCCACCTGGTCCTTCTGCACCTGGTCCTTCTGCAGCAGCTCCTGCAGTTTCTCCAGCTGCGTCCGGCAGACATGGGAGCGTGTGCGGCTCTGGCAGAAGGACTCCAGAAAGGACTCGAGGGGCAGGTCCTGGGTCAGGAACTGCTTTATCTGTGCCTGTGGGATGGGCAGTGGGATTAGAAGGAGCATCCCCATGACTCTTCTGCAGGCCCTGGTATATGGGAGGGCATGGAGAGCACAGGGGTGCTCAGCTAACTCACCTCTGACTCTGCTTCGGAGGCATCAAGCTTGGCTTGAAGCTGGCCCAGGGCACTCTGTGGGCTCCACTTCTCCAGGTAAGCCTCTGTGTGTCAGAAGGGGATGGGGCTGCCAACCTTCCCTGGATATCCCATTGCTGTCTTTCCCATCCCCAAGCATCAGGTCCCCCCCCCCTTGCACAGAAAAAACCCCAAACACATCCCTGGAGCCACCTGCACACCACGGCTTCCATCCCACCCAGCCACAGGCTGCCCAGAGAAGCTGTGGATGCCTCATCCTTGTAATTGCTCAGGCCAGGTTGGACTGGGCTTGGAGCAACCTGGTCTAGGAGAACAGCAGAGGGTGGAATGAGATGACCTTTAAGGTGCCTTCCAACCCAAACCATTCTGTGATTCTATGAGTGGTCCCAGCTAAGGATTTGCTATGTCACAGGGAGCATTACCTCCCACCACTCCTGATCATGGCTGAACCATTTCCCTGGAGTAGATCTGAGAATGCTGAGCCCACCTGGACCCTCATGTTAACAGGGGTTGCTCTGGATGTGCCAGGCTGTGCACACCCCACTCACCCAGGCGCTGCTGTTTGTCCCAACATGCCTCTCGGATCTCCTGCAGCTCCTGGTACTTGATGGCCAGGGAA